TAATAAGGATTTATATCAGTTGGATACCAATTCATATTTTCCTTATTGCCTTTTAAAAAAAAATCAGGAATGATAACTGAATTTTGTCAAAGACTTTTTTTGCAACTCTGGAGACAATCACAATGGGTTTCTTTGTTTCTTTGCTTTTAGAAGTCTAATACTAGACTAATTATTTGGTCTTTTTCCCTAGAGGCCATGAGGAGACACATGAGGAGAGTCTTTATATATATATGTGTGTGTGTGTGTGTGTAGATAGATAATATTAGGCAAAACACCTGTCCCTCCCATTCTTGAAGGAGTATATTTTTCTTCATTTTGAAGTCCCATATTTTTATTAGGATATGTCTTGAGTTTCTGGCTTTGTGTCAAATTTCCCAGGTAATTTCTGGCCCTTTCATCATGTAAATTCATTCTTCTTTCATTTCTCAAAGTTTTCTTGGATTAGAGTTTTAAATATTAGTTCCATTCCATTGTTTTATTTTCCTGTTTAGGGACTCCAGTTATATACATGTTCTTTATCTTCCACTTCAACTACTTTCTCTTTGAATTATGTACTATATCTCCTTTTTGTTCCCTTGGTTAGTTTCCGAACTTTATTCAGAATTCTTTAAAAGATTTAATTTGAATCTATCCTCTCTTGGGAGAATGGTTTTAATTTAGTCTTTCTTTTCTATTTCATTTCCTTCCTGGCTTCAATCAATTCTTATTTAATTCTTATTGTTTTGTTATCCAACTGTACTTAGACTTTAAAATCTCAATTAAGTTTTACTCCCCACCCTCCATGTCCCTAAATTTAACTGAATTAATATTTAATTCAGTTTGGAGTCAGGGTCTTGGAGTTCTTTCTTTTTTGCTTCATGTTTCTTTGTTTTTGTTTTGTTTTGTTTTTGATGGGGAGAAGGAGAGTGTTTAAAAGTATCTTTAAAAGTACAGATACTTTTCCTTGAAATTTCAGGACTTTACATTTGTATTCAGTCATTTATACTTCATTCAGTGTATTATTCAAATAGCTCTTACATTGTCAAGTGTGTGTTTCGGTCCTAGCCATGAAAAGGTGTGGCAAATATGACTCTTATTTTCTAGGACAATGGTCTTCAAAATGTTGCCCACATACTCTGTCTTTAACAGTTAGAAATTCCAGTTGACCATTTTCCTCCTTAAACTGATATTTTGACCCCTTTCTAGCAAATATTTATCCTAATTTAAAACAGTTTATACTTCAAAGCCTTTGATTATGTTTTCAATCTTTTCTGCACCAAAAATATGAACATAGTTTTTTTTTAATTTTCATTGACTATAATTGTCCAACAGTTATCCTTATGAAAAAAACTAGTAAAAATTGAAAATAAATTTTGATAGTCATAAAGAATAAAGTTTTAATTGGAAATATATTTCTTCATAGGATAGGACAGGTTTCAATAGGTAGTTTAGTAAAACCAGTACTTGTAAAATAACAGAATGAGGGAAGCAATAGAGGAGCCAGGAAGGAGTGAGGCATTCTCTCTGGTTGGTCTGGGAGAGGCTTCCCAGAAAAATTGCCATGTATATTGGATCTAAAGGATTAAAAGGCATCTTTTGGGCAAGTAAGGTAGAAAAATAAAATTCTAAGTAGAGGGAACAGTGTGTGCAAATCTGAGAGAAAGAGAAGAATATGCCCTGCCCAGGCAACAGGCCTTTTTGGACATGTTAAATCTGTAATGCCCATGAGACACCCAAATGAACTTTTGTGTCTTATTGGCAAATGAATTTAAGAATGTGGAATGTAGTGGGATAGGGTAGCTGTTGATAAATTGTATTCAAAAATCTATAAATTAACCCAAGCTTTGATATTTTTCTGCCTACCTTCACTAACGTACATATCTATGAAATATATAATATATAATTTATATATAATAAATTTATCTATATATATATAATTATATATGCATTAATTTGATACTGTTTCCTATTTCTTTCTTTTAGCCTTGATGAATTGATTTTTTTTTTCTTTGTAACCTCTTTCCTGCCCTTTGGAATTTATATTACATAGCTCAATCTATTTTTCAAAGAAAGATTGATATATCAAAGTAATATAATAACCAAGCCTCCTTAGGTGAGGAATAATTTCCCTATTTTGGCTCATGATTTGCTTCTTCAGCCCTCAAATATGGTGGTGGTCCTCAAGTAATGGAAAACCATGGTTCGTTCACCTAGTAGTGTTTATGCTTGTGGATAATTATAAACTTCCAACAACCCAAATGACCTTTTTTTTTTTTTTAAGTCTCTCTTCTCTAGGATCACAGGGGAAAACTGAAGGTCCTTTCTCAAGGCACCTTAGATCCCAAGAGAAAACCCAAAGGCTCTGGTGATAGGCCTCCTTTTTGATACCATGAAGTTCTTATATTCACAATGCCCAGCTAAGAGATGGGCTTTGGTTCTGTCCTTACCTCTTTGAGTGACAGAGACCTTGAATTCTCACACTTGGGAATGACAGGGGTTTGACATAAAGCCAACATCTTTCCATAGTGCTTTATATTTACTCTAAAACTGCATTCTAAAGCCACCCTCGTTTAACCTTAAATCCAAAAAAGAATACCTATGTGACAGATGACCTGGATACAAAATTCCATTGGAAATGAATTTGATACTAAATGCAACTAGAGATAATTTACATTGTTATTTTGTGTTTCAGTAAGATATGTTGTGCTTAAAGAATTGTGCAAGTACAAGTCAAAGGATGGATGTTGCAAGATTATTTGTGAAAGCAAATATTTAAGAAAGAAACTAAACAGCTATTAATAGGAGGTTATTTAAATGACGGACCCTACATTAAATATTGTAGACTACACAGCATAAAAAGGGATGATATAATATTCCGATGGCTAAGCTTTCCTATAGTATCTTCTGTATGTCACATACAGTACCGAGTGTCTCACATATGTTAACCCCTTCGAGTCTCACAACTACCCTATGAAGTAGGTGCTATTATCTTCTCCAGTTTGCCAGACAAGGAGCTGGACACATTAGATTGAGAAATTTGCTCAACACTACACAGCTGGCAAGTGATGGATCTAGAGCCATACGTACCGACATGGAACAACAGCACAATATTTTACAAAGAGAAAAGAAAAAAAAAACATAAGGTGCAAAGTGAATGTGTAAAGTATAATTCATATTTCTGTAAGAAACAAATGTGTGCTTGTGTGTGTACCTGTGTTGGTGAAAGGGAAACCATATTTAGGTGGACAGAAACCATAATAATACAGAGTGGGATTTAGATGTTGGGGTTTCTACTTTTTGCCCGATACACTGCTGTAATGCCTTCTAAAAGTTTATTATAATATACATATGGTTACTTCTGCAGTTCACGGTTTTAAAGTAATTAGAATTTGAATGACGAAAATACCATATTATAATATGAAAAAAACCTCAAGTCATTTTTCACACCTATGTTGAAAGGAACACTAATTCCAAACATTTGTTTATGCTGGTGGTGATTAGTTATTTCACTATTTGAAAAGTATCATTTACATCAAAAATACTATTTTAAAATGTTTGATTAATGAATTTTTTCTACATGTTTCTGCATTGATTTCCTTCCTTTGGTCCCTTTGCCTCTTAATCCTCCCATTGCATCTTCTCCCCCATGTTAGAGTTTTCTCATGTGAGAGAAACGCATTTCAAACGTCACCATCTGTATTTCCATTTTTAAAGTTTATTTAAGTACCAGAGGACATTGCCAAGAACGCAAAACTCTGTTTGCTTAGCTGAGACTAGCTACAGTCCAGAGAGCTTTCTTGCCAGCACTAGAGAAGACAAAAATGCAAACCTCCTTACTGTAAATAGCTGACACTAAACAACATTATCCACTCAGCTGACATTCGATAGACATTATTTATGGCATCATTCTCAACTTCTTTCAGGAGACTTTTAGAAATTAATACTATGCATCCTGTCTTTCCATCAACTTAGTTTGTGACAAATTAATTTCCATGAAACTGGTACAGGGGAAAGTACAATTCTGTTGAGATGTTGTGAAATAAATTATGTAATGAAATAGACAAAACACTTAGAGAAACCCATTAATATTCTCTTTCAACAATGTTAAAAGTGTCTAAACATATCTCATCATAAAAAATTTTTTGTTGTGTTAATCGGTAGAGATTTTTGCTTTTAAAGGGATAAACAACTTTTCCTAAAATACAAGTGTTGACTCAGAGGGATATAAGTATTTAAACAAATATCAATCAGTGTTTTCCAGATACTTCTATGTGCTTTGTTATGACTTGAGTATCAACCTACAATCCATTCTCTAATAAGCAAAGCACTATATCCATTGGTCTGCTAGATTAAAAAGTTATAAACACAAATATAATGGAATATGCATCATTTCCTTTGGAATTTATGAAACTGTTTTGCACAATTCCCTAAAGGGTGAGGGAAAAAATCAAGCAATCTTTGATATGCAATATAAATAATTCCCCAAAGAAATCACAAGGAGTGTTTTTGTTTATTTTTGCTTTAAGTATGCAAATGTATTCCTTATCTGTACCTTAACTTTGGCTACTCATAAGCATCCATTGCATAAACTAGAAAAAGGTCTTATTGATGAATTGATTTTATCCTTTGTTGTTAGAAAAGAGAAGTATGAAATGTGAAATAAAAAGGGAATAAGGAAATACAGACACTAAGTTCATCTGAAATAGGATGACACCCATATAAAAAATCTTTTTATAACCTGATATAAATACTAAAAATAAGAACGAATGAGTATTAAAACTATGTCCTATATAATATAAAATGTTAAGACATAAAATCATGTTAAATAATTGCAATCTTTTTTCTAAAATATACTCGCATCTTCCTTTCTCTTACTCAGACAGACAAATGCAAAAAAGGCCATTATCCACTATTTTTGCCTCAGTAACCTCGTGTTCATTGGTGTATTATATCAGCGTCGAGAAAAATAAGTAAGCTAATGGCAATAACTGTTCAAAGAAAAAGTAGACAATGCTCCTTACCGACACACAGGACCGTTCTTCTCCACTACACAATTCCCACCATTTCTGCAGTAACCAAATGGGCACTCTAAAAAGAAGCATCACAAAACCCACAGTTAATTGTAAATATTACTAGGAAGGAGGAGAACATATTACTGTTAATCACTGCATTAAATCTAGCCACTGAGAGTAAATTGCTTCCCAGTTGCTAAAAGCACAAGAATTCTCCTAGGCTACTCCCCTGTGCCCTACAAATTTGTTCAGTGGCCCTTGCTGCCCTTGATGTGTTCATTCTCTTCACATGCCTGAGTGGTTGACCACAAGAGAAGACTTTTTTTCCTCCCCTGGATTAAGTAAAATCTTCTTATTTAGAACATGTCTGCATGACATATTTGTGATTATACTGAAATTTGTTCTTTAATGCAACATTTATTGTCTTCAGTTCCACACAGTAGTCACTATCATGACAGACAATGCTTTGCACGGGTGACCTTGTCTTCTTGGTAAAATGTCACTCATGCACGTGCATGTCCTACCTTTGCATCCGTGACAGACATCAGCATAGCTCAAATCGACCTTCATCTCCCTGGCCCTGCTCTCTTGCTGCTTGTATCACTCCCCCCTTCTAGGTTAGCATCAACATTTATTTTCAAAGGTGGTTTGCTTATACAATAAAAAGAAGCTAGATATTGTCACATAGGTATGACTCTGCAGTGGTTAGTGCCTTTAGCTCTTCAGGGTTCTTTACAGTCTCCTTGGATCCTCACATCCATCCTGATCTACTAAGACCTCTTGGTTTTCCTACTTACTTAATCCCCAAATTGCTTTTCTTGGCTTTTTTTTGACAACTCCTCTCTTGCAAGATATAATGATATCTCTTGCAGGATACCATTCTCCCCTGGTTTGGCTGTCTTAACTCCAATACTTGGTGGAAATTTGTAATTCAACACATCTATTCTGAGCATCTGTTAATGTCTGGCACTAGGCTAGGCACTAGATATATAACAATAAATAATACAGGAAGTTTACAAAATTATTAAAGCTACAGGCACCAGAGCCAGACTGCCTGAGGAAGAATCTCAACTCAATTAGCTGTATAATATAAGATAAGCTAGTTAATGTCTCTGTGCCTCTGATTCTTCTCTGTCAAACAGGGTTAAAAATAGTACCTATCTCACAGAGTTGTTGAGAATGTTAGAAAACACCTAGATCACAGCCTATGCTTAAGAAATACTGATCTAGGGGCGCCTGGGTGGCTCAGTTGGTTGAGCGACTGCCTTCATCTCAGGTCATGATCCCAGGGTCCTGGGATCGAGTCCCGCATCGGGCTCCCTGCTCCGCGGGGAGTCTGCTTCTCCCTCTCCCACTCCCCCTGCTTGTGTTCCCTCTCTCGCTGTGTCTCTCTCTGTCAAAAAAAAAAAAAAAACCTTTAAAAAAAAAAAAAAGAAATACTGATCTAAAAAAGATACAATTGTGGTCTTTGCTCTTGTTGATTTTCCAGCTTCATGGAAAATGCAAAACAAAAAAAGTGACTAGGGAATTAAAATACAATATTAAAAGTAATATAATTTGGAATGGATGTAACAAGGATGATGAGAGTACCAAGAAGCACTTAAATCAAATTTGGGGAATAAGGAAAAGTTTTCCAGAAGAAAATCAGGGCATTGATGAGGGCAGGTGTGTGTGTGTGTGTGTGTGTGTGTGTGTGTAAATAATCATAAAGACTTAGAGGCCCAAGAAGGGAGTGCAGTGTGTTTGAGGATCTGACGGAAGTTCAGCCTGGTAGGACTGATAATGTGAAGAGAGTATGGAAGAAGGTCAGAGACACACAGGGACCAGATCGTATAGGCTCAGTGAGGAGTTTAAACTTTAACCTCAGAGGCAAGAATTTTAAGAAACTAAACGGATATTTCATGCTTTAAAAAGACTATTCTGGATCCAGTATGTAAAGTCAACAGAAGGGCTAAGACTAAAAAATTCAGGAGCCCAGTTAAGAGCTTTTTGTAATAATCCAGTAAGAAATGGTGGTTGCCTAAATGAAAGGGGTGGGGTAGGAGGTTGAGAATTGTGGGGATTTATAAGATATTTAAATGTTGGGATTGAAACATCCTGGTGATTTTTTGGAAGAATCAAGAGTGATGTTCAATTTTCTGGCTGGGCCCTTGGCTAGTTGGTGGTTTCATTCACTGAATTGGGGTAACTGTGGGGAAGGGAGAATTTATAGGGAAAGATGCTAGTGTTTTAAGTGCCTAAGGGAACATCCAAGTAGAAGTATTCCTTGGGCAATATTATTTGCAGGTCTGAAGCCCAGATAAAACACAGGCTAGGGCATGGATTTGAAGCTTCGGGTTTCTATCATCACTTTTCAGGCTTGCCCCTCAAAAATCACTTGAGATCATTTTTTAGGTCTTTTTTTTTTTAAGATTTTTTTTATTTGTGAGAGAGAGAATGAGAGACAGAGAGCATGAGAGGGAGAAGCAGACTCCCCGCTGAGCAGGGAGCCTGATGTGGGACTCGATCCCGGGACTCTTGGATCATGACCTGAGCCGAAGGCAGTCGTTTAACCAACTGAGCCACCCAGGCGCCCAAGGGTCCAACTTCATTCTTTTGCATATGGCTATCCAGT